GTACTGGCTGGTATTTGTTGAGGCAAACAAGCTTATGGTTTCAACCATATATGAAATATGTGGGGAGTGGAAGTTCTTTGTGTGGTAGCCTCACTTTTATAGAATTCACTGCTGATTAAAGTCCATAAAAATGAAAACAGGTCACCTCTGGAATCAACTTTTTCTCTTCACATTTTGACTTCCTCCTAAGTGGACTTGCCTTATTTTTCTTGTTTCTCTGAAGATTCATAAGAAGGATGTTTTATTTAAAACTACAGGTTTCTGGTCTCTATCACCTTTTCTTCTCTCTCTCTGTCTCTCTGTCTCTCTGTCTCTCTCTCTCTCTCTCATACACACACACACACACACACACACACACACACACACACACACACACAGCATGTATATCTCAAGTGCCTAACTGGCAAAAATTTCTGATATTGTGTCTGGATGGGTTATATACCTTTAGATAAAAAACATACACTTGGTTTTAAAAATATTGACTTGCTTTTATGAGTGTAAAATAAGATCAAATTCAACAACTGTCCTGTCTGAAATGAGCAGTTGTGGCCTGCTAATGGGGTATAACCATTTCTCTCAAATCTTTTTGTCATACCTTTTTCTCTCTACTTCTTTTTTTCATCCACTTCCTGTATGTCCTTTACATTTGTGCTCTAATCATTATTACATTATCCTCTAACATGCTTACTGGTCAATGATTAAGGGAAGAACTAGATAAGAAGGTGAAATGGTTGATGTATTCTCTATACAAGATTGAATATAGAAAATTTAAACCTATCAAAACCACCATGAGAAGGTAGAAAGAAGAAAAACCTAGGAGATGAACCAATTGGGTTATGATACATATATATATATATATATGGAAATGTCACAAGGAAATTCCCTGTGTAGCTGTCTTAAACAAACAAAAATGTCATTTTTTTTTTTTTTTAGAAAATCTAAGAACAGGAGGGTTGAACAGGTCCTGCCTGGGGGGGGTTGCTAACAGTGGGAGGGGGGAGGAGATGGGAAAAGGGCATGGGAGTGTGAATATGGTGCAAATACTGTGTACATGTGTATATAAATGAAAAAAAATGTTATCTGTAGAAACTATTCTAGGAATTGGGGAGGGGAAATGATGGAGGGAGTAATTCAAGTATGAAATATTTGATATATTGTAAGAACTTTTGTAAATGCCACAATGTACCTGTACCCAGAAAAACAATAAGAAGGTTGTGGGGGGAAGAGAACTATAGAAAAAGAACTTTCTCTAGTTGGAATTGTGTATTTGAGTCAGTGACTAGCCTGAGCACCCATAGATATGGCTTTCTGCCCTGGATCAGGTCCCATCAGAGTAGGTCTGCAGCCTCCTATCAGTGTGTCACCAGCACACTGACAATGTCTTTCCTATGCCCCACAATCATTCAGACTGCTGCTCTGATTTCCAGCTGCCAATCAGCTGACTCAGTACCTGAGTCAGAGGGCACTGCTAAGTGTGAGATATGCACGTCTCCTTGCCCTCATATGGCTGGCAGGCTGAACAAACAGAACAGAAAGAGAAGGTGCTTTGGGGGAGCTTGGTAGCTGTTTGTTTCTCAAGGAAATGAACACCCCAAGCACTGCCCTCAACTATGTTTTAAGGGGCTGGTGCATAAGCACCCCAACTCCCTTGTTCCTGGGATGGGATAACTTTGAGGTCCATGCTTTGCACAATTTCTCTAAGTTTCCCAATGCATTTAGCTTTGGTCATGTAATAATATGGCCCTTAATGTCTCTCCTGCCTTTTTTAGGGTCTCTTCACCATATCTCTACTGATATTTCCTGAATTTCTCAAATAAACTGTTTGCACTCCAATCCTTATTTTCTAAGGACCCGAGCTAGACTCCAATGATTTAGAAATGCGAATGGGAAAGTCAAGTTGTAAAGGGAGATTTTGCCAGGAAGTACATTTCAGAAGTCTTGGCTCTTCCGCCAGTTGCTCTGCCTTCTCTGCCCTCTGGACACTGGAGACCTCTTCATCTGTTCCCACCTGCACTGTCCTGTCCGGTTCTCACTGTCCTCTCTGGTTCTTCACACAACTCCATCTTTTCTACCTGGTGAAATGTATCCACTGACTTCTGCAATGCCCTTCAGCTATAGTTCTTTGTATTTCTTTCTCTTCCCTGCCAAACTTTCAAATGAGCATCCAAGAAAATTGCTTCTATTTTCTTCTCTCTTTTTACTTTTCGCTTAACCACAGATAATTTGGGCACCATTGTCACTTCCAGCAAACTGTTATTAAGCTCCCCTAACCACCTTCTTCTGTTTTTATTCTCTTGTCATTTCTGGTACTCTGTATCAATAACACTTCCTTTCTGAAAATTGTGTCTTGGATATTGAATTCTTAGGATTTTAACATTGTAATAGGCACTTTATGTATAGAGGAAACAGAAACCTTAAAAAAAGTTCAAATGATTTGCTTAGCAAGACCCAAATGCTGGGCATTGAACCCAGGGATTCTTTTTTTTTGTTTTTTTTTTTCTGTCAGTACTGGGGTTTGAAATCAGGGCTTTGCTCTTGCTAGACAAGTGCTCTACCACTTGAGCCCATGCTTCTAGTCCCTTGAACCTAGGGTTTCTGACTACCATCCATGGTAGAGTCTAATCTGCCATACAACTTTTGGTAAGTCTTGATCCAAAGCCTTCAAAACATTCCTAATTTTTAGTACTTCCTAATAAGGGGCTCCCAGCTGGTTTCCTGCTGCCTCCTCCACAGCCATTCTCATACAAGCAGTGAAGATGCTGCTTGTGGAATGTAAACTTATCATGCACCTGCTTAGCCTCCACCCCTCTGACTGCTCATAGAATAAAGTCCAAATTCCTTTCCATGCTTTGCAAGACCATCCTTGGTCCAGCTCTCTTTGTGAATTTATTTCCTGCTCTCTTTCCTCTTGAGGCACTTTACAGAGACTCTGTAAGCTTGCCAGCCAGCATGTGTAGCCCCCTGAGGGGCATTTGCTTTGCTGTTTCCCTCTGTTAGTATAACTTTCCTCCTCACTACTGCCCACTGCTTCCTTCTCATCATTGGTGTGAGCACAGAGGGACACCTTTTTAGACAGCCTGATACTGATGTCGCCATATCTCACACCGCCCACCAAAATATGCTGTTGTATTCTCTTCATAACATTTGCCACTAGCTACAGTTGTATTATTTATATATGACTTGGAGTTTATTGTATGTCCTTTCATACTTCTAGTATGTAGTTCAGCAAATGGCCAAGAGTCATTTCTTCATGAACCCTTGTTGGGTAAATAAATGATGTTCAATTGTTCTGACTCATTTTCATGAATCCTTTTCCTCCTTCCCTCTCCAATACACTCAACTACTCTCTCAAAATATTTTTCTCTACTATAAGCAAACTGGTTGCCTTGTAAACTAATAAGGATGAAACCTTTTCCTAACTAAGAAGCAGCTTTCAATTTTCTCATGATCAGCCTGTTCCTCTCTCAAGTTCTATCATTTTGTCAATGTATAGTTCACATTCCGTTTCTGTTTCTCATACCACAACTTGATTGTCCTTTCTTCAAACGATGTAAAAAGTCCGTGCATTTTATGTAATCTAAATATTCACATATAGTTCATATTATCTTGAAATGTTTCCATTTGTTTCATATAATATTTAAGCATAGTACTTTAAATATATGTGTGTGTTATGTGCTGTAGATCCTTGTTTCTTGTAGGTTTTGCACTTGTCTGTTTGCCTATGCACTAGAATTTATTTGCAACCCCCAAATTGATACTTGTGATCTTTAGTGGTCATTCATAGATATGCAGAGCAATGAAAAACTTGAGTCACCCTACAGGCACATTCCCAGCTGAAGCTGAACAAGGCCTTATTCTGCCTTCTTGTTTCAGCTCTTATATAATAAACAGGCATTCTGTTTGTGGTCAATTTCATAATGTCTTTTAATAAATAATTTAAAATATTTTTAGAACCTCCAAAGCACCTTGGTGGAGACAATATGAGAACATCTTTTTCTCCCTTTCATGCTGTTTCTTGCTAAGTAGATGGTATGTGTGCTTTAAGTGTTAGAATCATATCATTTTTACTTCTGTATTTGCAAGTGATCTTAACTTCTCCCTAAATATAAAGAAGTCTGTCACTATTGATAATCCAATTTAGCCCAGATGGTTGGCAACCAGCTATATTAAAGCAAAGATTTCTGTAGTAGGTTTAGAATTAAATAATGTGATGTAATGATTTCACCTGGCTGTGGAGAGCAGGGTCTTGATATATGCACACAATGGATCAGATTTTGTTCATATAATAGTCTCTTGACATTTCTCTTTCCCTTGAAAACAAAAGCCAAGCATGAGTCTCAAATTAATATTTCTCAACTTCCAAAAAGCTGCCAGGGCCAAGGTTGAGTGAGGAGCTTCCAACAGGGAGGCAAGACAAGATAACAACATTTTATGTCTGCCTCAAGGCTATATATTACAAATCCTGAAGTGTTAGGAACTAAGGATTCTTAAAAGCTGTGTCATTCTTAAGCTGAAGGAGCTAATTGGTTTCAACTTAGAATTCTGAAATCACTATTTCAATATTTGATGATTTTTTTTCTTAAATTAAGTAATGTATGTCCAGTGATTCTAATGATCCTTGTTTTGAGGAATTTATTAAGATTAAGGTGTCAAGGTTGCTGTATTTTTCCAGGTTTAAAGCTGAATTCCATTGTGTAGGTAAAAATGGAGTAACAGCGTGACTTCATCTAAGGCTTTGCTGACTTTGTGGTTTCTCCATCTGGGCAAAGGACATCTGTCTTCCAAGGTGGTCATCCAATGGCTTTGTCCTGCTAGCATTCAGTCAAACCAACTCCTGTGTTTGCTAATACAAGAACTACTCAATTTGTTTAGCAACATCTTCTCTACCTCAGTCCTGGAAAGAATGCAAAAACAATAGAGGGACTCCAATTTTTTTGGCTTTACCCAGTACTTATTTTCCAGTGGAGATTATTGAAAACGATAATTCTTTCTTGCTTCAGGAAAAACTGTCGAAGGATGAAAGAAAACAAAAGGAAGCACTGGATGATCTTCACGTGGTGGTAGATGAAGATTCGAGGAGCGAAAGTAGCAGTACAGATGAGAGAAAAGAGAAGACCAAATTGCTGCTAGAAAGATTGAAAGCTCTAGAGGTAAAAAAAAACAACCATTTCTACACATTTAAAGAAAAATAATAGTGTTCTGCTTTTATTGGCACTGGTTTTAAGTGATTATAAATCTTCCTTTCTCAGTTCTCTCAGACTGATAAAATTTTGTGTCTACCAGTGAGATTCCTTTCTCAATGGTGGACAAAAAGTGAAAATTCACAGCACTAAAAGAGTTTTGACCCACTGACTATGATTATATTGCCTTAAAAAGAGGACATAGGACAATAACTCACTTCCCACACATTTCAAAGCTCAAACTGGATTAGTTCCTAAAATTTCACACTCCTTGAGGCAAGGAATGTGAATACAATGACTAGTACAAAAACTATGAATGAAAAAATTCAGCTACTTCACACAGGTATGACTAAAAGCAGACAGGTAAGTGACTGATGTCAGAAAAGGGACACCTGGCAAAAGAGAAATCAACTAGGGAGTCACCCCCCACACACACACACAAAGGGCCAGGAATCACCTCTTTCTCCACGGTTCTCATACTCTTGTCTTGTTTAAAGATAGTCATCTTAAAGGTTGAAAAGTCTTCCTTCTACAGGGAGACTGAGGTTTCTGTCTAACTGGACTCAACAATAGGAATGAATTGATCTTACACGTACTTCAATTGCTGGTCTTTATTTATGATTACAGTGAAAATTGTTCTTGGTTCATCTCGTTGTCAGAGACAACTTTGTGAAGGACATTCTATTTAATCAAGCTAAGAGGTATTTTAAAAATGTCTCTGGCAGCAAATGTTTCATAAACTTCAGAGCAAAAAAAGAAGTCATATATTTTTTTCCTTCCACAGGGATCTTTACACTTTGGACAACAACTCTTTTACACAGCATTACTTGGATGCAATAAATGATACGTTTAAATGCCATTAATCCCCATAATTTTAATTCACAAAATATTTTATTTTCTAAATTAATTTCCTTTAGTCAAAGTCATTGCTTATTTTCTAAAATTTCTTGTTCAAGGTTAACTCTTTCCTTGCTCTTATATCTCTCTATATTCAAGGATTCTGTTATAATTTTTTATTATATAAAATCTAAATATTTTTATTATATGTAATCCAATTTTCATATGCAACTTAATTTTATTTTTAGAAATATTTTTGCTATATAGAATTCTGTGCATAGGTTAAAAACTGTGGGAAAATAGAGATCTCATTTTGACAGACTGTGATTAGAGCTGGTCACAGACCTGCATGTGGATTTGTACTCTTCAGCAAAATGCTCCTTTGAAAGATTGCAGGGGAATTAACCGTAATGCATCGAAATTGCTTTGGCAAGATTTGATGTTGTACAGCAAGATTTTAGAAAAACAAAGAATATTTTCCACCAGTATATTTGAAATAACTGTATGTGAGTTCCCTGATCTCTTCGCCTCGGGTATGTAGAAAGTAGAGAATAATAACTTTTCAGGGTGCTAGAAGGCAGTCTTATTTTATTCCTACTCTCCAAACAGGCCTCAAGAACAGGTCTCAGAATCTACATCTAATATTATATCCTTGATTAATGTGATGATAACATTTAAAATATTAAATATAGTTTTTAAACTATTTAAAATATTTAACAATCTAGATTGTATCTGAGAAGCCCCTGACTTTGACAAGTAAATATTGTGCAGGTATTTCATACTTCAGCCTGGGGAAAGTCAAATCCCTTCTCCTCCCCCAAGGATTGTCCCCTCTTGTGGTCATTTCTGGGACTGAGTTCCTACTGACTTTCAACTTTTGATACTGTGTCTTCTCCCAGCATCAACCTTGTATGATACAGTACACTCTTTACTTGATTTCCCCAGAAATCCAACCCCACAAAGGATAGGGGTTCTGGGAGAATTATCTTCAGATAGCTCTATTTCTGCTTAATCTTTGGCTGAAGAACACTTTTCAATGGCCCCTTACTTCTCAGTTCCAAGCTCTCTGCCACAGAACTGGGCCAGCTCTTCCCCACCTGCTTCCCTCTCTCGCAGTTAAGTTCTCTAGTATTTGCAAAACACAGTTCTTTAGGCTTCCTCACTCTACTTCATGGGTTTGTTACATGCCATTCCTGGGCTCATCAAGGTATTTTTCTAAAAAGGACATTTACCTTCCTAAAGGTCAAAATCACATGCACACATACACACAGGCATTCTTTTCCATTTTAGCTGTTGTTTGCTCTGCCCGGTACCTTGCATTCAGCCATCTTAAGTTGTCAGGGAAGAAGGGATAGACCATTTTCCCTTGCATCCCTCGCTGCTTTCCATGGGCCTAAATTCTCATTTTTAAGGATCATAATATCTGCTGGAGAAACTATTTGGTGCATTCTATGTCTGTGTCATAGGGCCACATGGGTGATCTGCTGCCCTTTGTACGTTATCATTAACATTTCATTGCCCAAATGTGGTGTTTCCTATATTTTTTAAAGTTTGGGCTTTCAAGGCTGCTGTTTCAGGGACTGATTTCTTAACTCAGAAAGAAAACCTCACCATTCTGAACAGCACTGCTCTTCCACTGTTCTCTTCTATGAAAGAGAACCCTTTTCCTTTGCCTCTATGGATCTTGCCAGATTTGCCCTCCAGGATCTATTGACCTCATCTAGAGTCTTCCCTGTTCCCTGTTCAGAGCCTTTGCCTGGGGCCCTGGGTTTGCCTGGGGTATATATCTTGCAGTATATAATTTGCATTTCTCCAGGCCACATCTCTACAGCCCCAGATCCCATTCATGGGCCTCACAATTGACCCCAAATTAAGCTGGACATTCCCTTTGCTCACTCTCCCTCCTGCAGCCTCTCTAATCACTCCAGCCAGAGGAGTGAGACCACTTTCTGGGCCCTCAAATAAGTGCTGCTACTTAACTACAGCCATAAGGTCAGATAAATTTGGTCCTTGTATGAATGACTTATTTTGTACAGAAAAACAAGGTAATTAAATATTTTAAGGCAAATAGCAAGTTTTTCTACTCAATTATACCTTTCCATAGAAGTATGACAATTAAAGTGCTAAGTATAAGTATTTTGTTAATCAGTAATTCCTGTTTAAAATTAGGTAGTTTAAAATAGTCAAACCTGGCTGTACATCTCAATTATATATAGATCTGTAGTCAATAGATATATACTGAAGACTTTCTATGGGCCAAAAGCCGTTCTAGGCACTGGGTCAAATCAGTTTTTATGGTCCCTACCTCAGTGAACAGAGACAGGAAGCACATACTTAAATAAAATAACAAGCAAACAAATAGACAAATAAGTGCCTCTGAATAACACAAAAACAGATGGTGTCATAACCAAGAGTTATGAGATGGAAGTGGAAGAGACATTTACATGACTGAGAAGCCCTCTTCTATCAGGACACTTGTGTACAACATAAACAATAAAAAGGAGGCAGAAAGGGGACAATCTGGAAGACCAACAACCCAGGAAGAGGCAACTGCAAATGCAGCCTGCTTGGGTATCACTGGAGGGAGGGACTAATGGTAATAATAATGAATGTGTTGTCAAACTCTTGTATAGGGCTTATTATGTCCCAAGCACTGTTGTAGTTACTTTACATAGTCTTATTAATATATGGTATTTTAATCTTCATAATAACCCTGTAGAGTAGGATAGTTAGGACTATTATCACCATCATTTTACAGATGAGAAAATTGAGCCTCATAAAGGTTTATTTCTCTTAGCCAAGGTGACACAGTCAACAAGCAAGAGAGTAAGAATCTGTTCTCTAGCTTTATGACTCCACCATGCTATACTTTTAAGAAATGATCAAGTAAGAACAGATTTTAGAAGTAAAACCTATGCAAATTACATAGAATATAGGGAGAGTGAGAAATCAAGAATGACTTTCACATTTTGGACCTTAGCAACTGAGAATGAGGTTGTAATAGATTCTTGAGAAAAGCAAGTCTTGAAGGTGACTTAGGGAAACAACTGTATAGTCATCAGTTTGTTTTGTCTATGTTTAAATGCGAATTAAACATTCAAGCAATGATGTCCAGTAGGCTGGTGGATATACAAGGTTGAGTTCAGGTCTAGAGATATGGATTTGAGGGTCATCGGCATATAGATGACATTCTACATTTGGGACCAAATAAAGTCACATCAGATGCACATGTAAATGTGAACAAGAAGAGGGCAGAGGACAGAGCCCTTGGGTGGCCATCCATTAGGGTTCTTACAGCAAATGAGCCTGGGAAGGAGTAGCTGGTGAGGTAGCAGGAAAACAGCATATCAGAGAAGCTGAAAGAAAAGTGTTTCAAGGGTGACCTTAAAAGAATAAGATGAAGCACAGACTGTCACTGGCTCTGGTCTTGATAGTAAGCCATGATCTTCATAACAATAATTGATGGTTAGAGTGGGTCGGAAGGAAAAGATGTGGAGACATGTGCAGATGGCTCTCTTGAGAAGCTGTCCTCTAAAGGGGAGTGCATGAGGAGGGAGTCAAGCCAAAGGAGAGTCAGTGCAAGGCAAGCTCTTTTAAGACAGTGGGTATTGGGGCATGTAGGTGTACTGATGGGAATAACCCAGTGGGAAGGGCAAAATTGATGGTACAGAGAAGGGAATGTAAATGCAGGTATGATATCTTGAAGCAGGCAAGAGAGATGAAACCAGGCCAGAAACAGAGCTTTAAAAAATTCAGATACTTAAAATACAACTCAGAAAATTCCAACTCACTAAGTCTCTGAGGGAAACTAAGCATCTGTATTCGGATAAAACTTTAAAGGTGATTTAGATGCATAGCCAAGGCTTAGGACCACAGATTTGGTTTTGTCTTAGTCCATTTTTCATTACTACAACAAGACAGGGCTGTTTAACTTTTTAAAATAAAGAGGTTTATTTGGCTTAGAATTCCAGTGGCTAAAATCCCAAAATGCAGGGTACTAGCATCCAGGTGAAGGCCACTGTCTGTGTCACAGGTGATGAAGAGACAGAAAAGTAACCAGCCAAGTACAGGAAGGACCAAATGAGCAGAAAGGAAGCAGGAGACCAGAGAGGGGAAAGGCTCTCTGGAGACCT